AGGAGGGGCGAGTTAACGCCGGTGCCAACCGCACTTGGCAAATTTCATCGTCGGTGCTTTCGTCAGCATCTAGGACGGATGCACAGAACGGCAACAGCAGCGAGCTTCATCAGCATTCCGCAATCGGGCGATCGATTGGACTCCGGACTTGCATAGTGGACACTTTTCGCGAGTGCTAGGTTCTCTGTAGGAATTATTGATTGAATAAAGTAGTCTTTAGGTAGCAGCAGTAGTGAGTAGATCTTTTTTATAAAGAACCTCCGACGTTCAAAACTTTAACTCGCATAGTCCTGGGCAACTCCGGCGTCCCGTAATTGCTCAATGTTGGGTCGCGGCGTTCGACTTCGACGGGTGTTATGCACCGTCGAGAGTTTTGAGAGCATGCATACTGCAACTAAGTAGTGGTCCGAATCTATGTTCGCACTGCGGTACGTGCGGACGTTGATAATGTCGCTTTTCTAAGCTTGAGACTTCTTATGTTTACAAAACCTCAGAACTTACTGAGCACTTGCGTCATGGAATATTTCCATGGTCACTAGACTGAGAACGCTATTGAGCTGAATGGGTCATTAGACCGAAATTGTTTAACAGATATTTAATTTAATAGGGTTACGGTATGTAATGTGGGTCTAGTCCTTTCATTCGGCCTATCACGCAAATAAATAATTAATTAAGGAATATTACACAAAAAATAAGGAAAATATTGATCACTGATGATTGATAAATGTGTACCACACACAAATCAATTTATATCACAACATTTCAATACATTTTCAGCTCTCGTAAGTAATAAAACTGGTTGAGAATATCACTCTGTTCGGAGTTTTTAGCCGCCATGACTTCTAAGGTTAAGATGGGAAGGTTGCACTGACGATCATCAAATGGCCTGATTATGGCATTTATTGAATGGAATTACCTGATAATACACACTAGACGTAAAACTCACAGTTACTGTTTGAATATTTTATGTTTATTTTAATTGTTTAACAACGTTTTCACAAGTAAATCATGGACCCAACTTTAGGGACACATTTCTTTTCTATGTTCCTAACTTTGGCCCATGAAATTCATTTGACAGCATATAGCAATAAGAGTAACGTCAACAATGTGGTTTGCATTTGGATGATAAGGAACGAACAGGAAGGGAGATTTTTTCTGCCAAATCTGTATAATGAACATCACAATGTTTTGATTTAGATATTCTGCGGTCGAAAGACGATAAGCGAAATTTTTAATTTTTAATTTTTAACTTGAGTGATTTAATGTAGTTTTCGTAAAAATTTTCTCTAAGAAATGTTTTGAGGAATGAAGAGTATTAAGTTAACAGTGATAGTGATAAAAAAAAATACATAAGAAAACGTTACCAAGAGCGTTTTTTTTGAGAATCAAACAGGATAGGACGAAGTTGCATCCATAAATAGACCCAATTTGGGGACAATAGACCGATATTACATACATTTCCCTGGTGAGTTTTTGTCTTAAAAAAAGTAAGTTTTTCAACTTTTTGCGGTTCCTGATAGCAAACGACATGATAAGCATATCTAAGCATACCATTTAGCAGTAGAATATCGTTTGCAGGTAAATTAATTGATGAGTTATGATTAAAAACGTAATCTATGGCTGCATATTAGACCGAGGTTAGGGACGTATACCCTACTTGATATATTTCATACAATCACTGTACATTTGAGGATGACTTCCAGTTGACTTACACGCTGGACTGACAGATTCGTAAAATAATAATGGTAGAATGATTGAATAAAACCTACATAATGGATCAAATTAATGGTTCAGTTTTTAATACACGCTATTTCAAAACTGAACCTACCCAAAAATGTGTAATGTATGTTGGGAGTGACAAGTTGACAAATGGACAACATCCGGGAGTATCAAAATGAAAATTCACTGGCCAACCTGTTGGTTACTGTGTCAAATCTTGGAAGGACATGCTGTCAAATCATACTACTGGATCATTCTTGTATGAAGTTGGTTCCAAACGTAAACAAACCATGTAGGTTTCTTATGGCTTGTTACCTTTGTTACTACCGTAACATAGGTAATAAAATCGGATTTCATAAGTCTTGCCGTCTGTGACCGATAGCCATCCACACAAGCAATCTCATCTGTATAAAACATTCCCAATCGATAGATCTCTTCTCGATCTGGCTCGACAGTTTGATTACGACATCGTAGAATCAAATTGAATATGAAAAATCGACCGGCAAGATGAAATTTGCTGATGTCTGTATGTACGTCAGTGGACGCGTTTTATCCTCGGTTTTATCTAGACAAGCTTTTTCCGAGATGGCTTATTGTTATTATTATTATTGTGCCATGCTGGAGGGGGAATTGCACCTGGTCGCCAGTGTAATGTTGATGAATAATTATACACCTTCCATGCAGCGATCAAATAGATAAAGATGAGATGGCTCTTAGATAATGATGGTTATTCCGAGAATCGAAGTGACTTTTGTCACTAGTGAAGTGAGAAAAGTCACGTCGTGGTGACGTGACTCTCCATTTGATTTGCACAGAGAGTCACGTCACCACGACGTGACTTTTCTCACTTCACTAGTGACAAAAGTAACTTCGACTCTCGGAATAACCATCAATGACTTATGCGAGTCCATTGAAATCAGCCGAATATTACATGAGGGTTAAGCTGATCCTTAACATAGAAGCGTAGATACATAGGTGAAGGATAAGAGAAAGGAGAGGCAAAGGTGTTGAAATGCAGAATTATATGTTGTCGAGATTGAATGCGCGTGCTTAAATAAAATAAGTTGATCCCAGGGTGGCCATACCTACCAATTTATCGGTAGTTCTACCGATTTTCGGGATTCCTACCGATTAAAAGTTTTGAGAAGCTACCGATAATGAAAAAAAAATAATCTGGCCACCCTGGTTGATCCAGATACCTATCGTATAAATTTGCATATCAGCTAGTTATGATTATTTTCAATAATACTTACATTCCATAAAGATCATGCTACCTATTTTACCTTTTATGTGATACTCATCATCACAGAATCGAACCTTGAATCGAGGACCAGGTCCATCAACAATACACTCGTTCCGAGAAGGGGCTCATGGTACCACTCATCCTGTACACTGGAGTCGCTTTTTACGCGGTTTTTTTTTACACGGTTTTTTTTTACGCGGTTTTTTTTTACGCGGATTTCGGAATTTACGCGGTTTTTTTTACGCGGTTTTTTTTTACGCGGATTCCGGAATTTACGCGGTTTTTTTTTACGCGGATTTTGGTTTTTTTTTTTACGCGGATTTTGGTTTTTTTTTTACGCGGATTTCAGAATTTACGCGGTATATCGCTTTTTACGCGGTTTTTTCTTACACGGTCTTTTTTCACTCGGTTTTTTTTTACGCGGATTTCGGAATTTACGCGGTTTTTTTTACGCGGATTCCGGAATTTACGCGGTTTTTTTTACGCGGTTTTTTTTTACACGGGACGTATCACCCGCGTAAAAAGCGACTCCAGTGTATAGTCATCTTCTTCTTCTTCAGTTTAGCTCACCACCCGGAATGAACGCTCGCTCGGTTAGTAATATCAAACAGTGTTACATGCAAACGAAAAAGAGATACAACCAGGATTAGTTTTTTAAAGTAATAGTTTCATCTGAATACCCAACTAAATATATCTCTGTGACATTTTCTCACTCTGAACCTACATTTAATCACAAAATAACTTTAAGTTATTTTGTGATTATATGGTTACTTTGGTACTCACATTGAATGTTGTGCACGTACCACAAGTTCAACAACGCCCAACTATGGACAGCTCAATATTTCTTTTTTGCGGGAGAAGTATTGTAATATTATGAGCACACCGCACTCCACATTCCGATTTATTTTGCGTAAAACGGAAGTAGGGAATATAACGCAAACCACTTCTCGATTTATAGGGGAAATGGATGTTAAGTCGACTAAATTTTCAAAAGCGTCCAAAAATATCCATCAGTACCGCCCACCTGTCTACGAAGTTTATGAACACAAACTTGTTTGCCTTATTGGAATGATCAACGCGATATCTGAGTTTAATAATTTAAGGAGAATTTTCCACAATTCCAAATTAACATGAGTTATAATAGTTCTTTCGAGCTTTCCTGTACTCATAATCTTTAACACAAAATGTGTATGAAATGAAATTCATTTCACGGAATTCCACGAAATGGAGCATACCGCGAAATCGACTTGCGGCTTTCCGCAAAATGTTGTACAATTGAGAATTTTATTCGCTAATCAAATTTTAATCAGTTTTAGAACGCTACAAACTTAGGACCATTGTTGTAAGGTCTCGTATGAGTAGTTTAAACATATTTAAGATTAAAGATGTTCATTTAAAGGGTGCTTATCTTGCCCTGTCTATCCCTATAGATATATTTTTTTTTCCATTAAATAATATATTAAATTACCTGCCATAAAATGTTGATTTTTTCATTAAAAAAGAGTCTTTCCGGCACGCCGTTATCGATTGTATCTTTTTAGGTTAGATTTATTTTATCCATCAATAGCAAGTGTTTGCCTTTGTTCAATGCAATCGCTATTTTGTTAAAGATCTCCGCAATTCAAGGAACACTTTCGGTGAAACTCGAGTACTTACTTCCGTCGTTTCCAAAACCACAAAACACGATTTATAAGCACTTTACTATGCTACCGCAAACGCGAAACACGAACTGAAAGCATCCAAACAAACGGAAGTTTCGTTTACATCTTCTGTGCTGCCACCTAGTTGCATTATTAATTAAGCTTGCAATTCTGTTTTCGAAATTTTGGTTCCAGTCTTAGCTAGATCTCTTCGATCAAAAAGCGTTTTCTTTCAACACACCTTGCAGAATGTTCGAATTTTTCGATCCATGCACCGCGGTTGCATCTGTCAAACTATGCATGTAAACAATAACAAAATCGGATCATTCGGGTGAGTTTTTGTAAATTTTTAATTACAATTTCGTCTGTAATGTTTGTGTATTAAACGAAAACTACCCTTTTCATCCCGAAAGGCAACCAAAATGAACGAATTCAACCACAAAACCGTCTTCGTGTTGGACCACACGCCGTACTTTGGAATCTCATGCGAATCGCCAATCGATTGCGACTTCATAAAAAGCAAAATTCCGATACCGCCGATCAGCAAAAGCCTCTGGACATGTGCGGTGGAGGCTTCGGTGGAATATTGTCGCATCGCCTGGGACTTGTTTCCCACGGGGAAGTTGATCCGGTTCGTGGTCAGCGACACGGCTGCCCATATTGTCAACACCTGGAACGTTAGCACCCAAAGCTTGACGCACGTCATGAATGCCATGTCGATGGTGGGAGTTCCACCGCGGCAGACTCAAGCAAACGATTATTCCGTGATACACGGACTAAGGGCGGCGATTGAGGCACTGGCCGAACCGACCGACTTTCAGAAGGAGCAACTGGCTGGTAAGGAACAAACGGTGTTCAATTTGGGACGGGTGATTTGTATCACCTCGGCGCGGGATGATGCCAGCATGAAAAGTTTGGAGGATATATTTCGGACGGTACTGGTGCAGCAGAATACGATTTCAGCCAACCACAAGGAATATCTGAACATCGATCGATGTCACTTGGTCATCATCAATCTGTATCCGGCCAATATGGAATCAATGGTCAACAATAGGAGTTTGATTGATATCTCCCCGATACTGAAATCGGAAATTCATTCCAACAAAGCGAACAGGATCTCCAACAAACTGACCCATTTAATCCTGCCACACTTTGACCTGGCAAGTACGACGGTAACGGGAATTCCGATGAAGGAAGAGCAAAATGCCAGTTCCAGTGCGAACTACGACGTGGAGATATTTCATGGCAGCAAAGCTCATTCTGTGTTTTTGGGAACGGAACTGGTTCTTCCGCATAGTTTAAAGGAGGGGTCCGATTATGAAACGGTGACGCTGAAGTGGTGCACACCGAGAAGCTGTGGATCGTCTGAGATGCAGCCCTGTTTGGCACAGTGTCGCGTTACGCCGGTAAGTAGCTTTCGGTATGTGTTTAAGATTGATTCTATGAACATTGTGTCAATTTTAGGTGGATGTAACGTCCCGACCCAGTTCCTGTCTTATCAACTTCCTTCTGAACGGTCGCTCGGTGCTGCTGGAAATGCCGAAAAAGTCCGGCGGCAAAATCACCAGTCATCTCCTGTCGGCTCACGGGGGAGAAATTTTCATACATTCTTTGAACACCTCGAGAAGCTGTTTGGAAGAGCCGCCATCGATTTCCGAGGGCGGTGGAGGACGCGTCACCGATTACCGAATTAACGATTTCGGTCAGTTGATGCAACTGCATCGCATTGTTCCACTGAAGCCGATCCCGGAGCGCTCGATGGATGACAATTTGCTAAAGATGCGAGCCAAACTAGCGAAAAATTCCCGCTACTGGCCACTGACCTTAAGCACGACAGTTCTCTACAATGTACGACAGTTTGTGGAACCGATTCTGATTCTGACGAACAAGCCGGAGTTAGCAGAGGAAGATATTCTGCAGTGTCAAAAAACGATATACCAGCTAGCCGCGCTGGAAGGTCGCCAGGAATCACTTGCCCTCCCGAACATGGGTCATCGTTTAAAGGGCAACAAACGTGAGGAACAATACCGACTTCTGTGGGCTGAACTGGAACTGAATGTCAGCTCGAGTGGAACGTCTCCCGGTCATAAGACGGTACAGAAGTGTATCCGCGACTGCCGCAGTCGAGCTCCGATTGAGATTCAGGACAAGGACGAACCGATCGATGCCCACCGGGCTTCGGTAATTCGTGCGACTACGGATTCCCCCATGTCACCGCCGCACTCGATGGCAGTGGTGGATAGTTCGGTTTCGGCACTGCTCGCCGGCTCCAGTCGGAGCAGTAAGAAAATCCTCGGGGGCGGTACAAAGTCACTGTTCGATATGTTGGCCACTGCCGAGCGAACGCAAAGCCAAAAGCGAATAGATTTCAGCGGTAGACTTTGCACCCCGCAGGGACAAGTGGCTAAGCTGTATCCCAATATGGGGATGAAGGAAGAAGCGGCCGCACAGGCAAGACAAGCGGATGTGAAGTGAGGTAAGACAGTTTCCTTCGGATTTAATTTATGGTAACATATAGTGTTGTTAGCTGATGAAACATTCAAATTTTTTTTTATTAGAAACCTTTCTACAAACAAGTGCTCAAACGTGCTAGTTAATCGAGAGAAACGTCCCGCCTTTTATTCATTGCAAAATAAACGTTTCCGCCCCACCTCGGCTGACGCTCAACGTTCCACCCGGTCCCCGAAGCTTGTTGTCCTGGAAACACCTAATTTTCACCTCAAACAATCGTTTCAAATCGCCCCACATTTCCTGCTGGCGCTGCCGCTCCGTTTTGCTCCCCTGCAGGTTACCCCTTTCCTCGACCAATCGTTTGCCGATGGTTTCCTGTTCGAAAATTTGCTGCGCCAGCGTTTCTTTCAACGAAATCCTCGCCGGCTTCCCGGACGCCCCGTCGCCGTTAATCGCGGCCAGGTTGGCAATCTCCTCGTTGGCCTTTTCCAGCAACAGCTCCGAGCGTTCGAACTCCAGCTGCAACTCCTGCCACTGTTGTTCCAGCGCTTTGATCGATTTCTCCGTATCGGTGATCTTGCTCTGCATTACGGCCGATTCGGCATTCAGGGTGGCAATCAGCGCATCGTAGGACTGGTGGACAAAAGAAGATAAGAGAGGAAGAGAGATGTGAAGGAAAATAGCCATTTGTTATTCTGTAATAAGTTGCCGACAAAAAAATGCGAAGGAACAGGCAATGAGGAACACCCACACCCACATGCCCGGCTCTAGGTCGTGCTTATGTGAAAAGGGTCCTAAGAAAATGTAGGCTAGGTATGAGCAGAACATCTACCCCACGCGTTCTTTGTCGATGATCGATAAAAGAAAATGAATGGTAAAAATGGAGGTGAATCAATAGGTAGGTAGGTATAGGTAAGAACCTAATGCACAACAATCCTGTACAGGTGGTGAAGATCTTTTATTTTGCTTTCACCGCTTTGCAAATTTGGCAAGTTTTACTACAAGGTTTCATGTTTGCTTTGCAGGAACATGGTGAGATTTTGGTTCGATCTAGTGTCGTTATTTTATGCTTATGCACATGCATTAATTATGTCACGCAAATTTGTGGAAAAATTATTCCCTCCCCCCTTTCATCACGTGTTACAGCTCCCCGCCTACCCCTTATAGCGTGACATGTATGTATGAAATTGTTAAATGGAAATATTTATTTATTTATTTATTTATTCATCTGACTTTTTGTCGTCTTAAAGCAAAAAGCTGCCTACGCCCTCCCCATGGATATGGAGGTTGACGGTACTGAAGCAAAGGGTTATGTTTAATTTCTTTACATTTGCAACGATGATGATTTCCTATAGTGACACATATCACCTTCTTAATGCTTCAGTATACCTCAAACGATTAATTCTTGGTTGTTAATAGAACTTCCTTGATGAAATCGGCTGCTTCATGCAGACTGAGCAATTCTGATTATAGTATCAGATTTGTTCTGTATACAGAGGAACTGGGAGGGCTTATTAGAAACTTCTCACCAATGATCTTCTAGTAAATTTTGCATATCATTTTATTAAAATTTTATTTTATTTTAGCATATTATTTTTGTTACAGCCAATTGGCATTAGTATACGATACAAAAGATTTAATATTACTTGCTCGTTTTTGCGTAAAATAATCAATATTTATTTTACTTGTAATTACCTATGAAAGTTTTTTTCAAGTTTTTTTTTGTGATCTGAAAATTTACCCAGTTTGGTTAGAAGTTTCGAAGTTAACGCATGTCCACAGGCCTAATAGAAAGGTAGGCAGGCTTCCACTCACTTGCTATAGATGAGTGATTTTCGGAGTTTTGAATTCGTTAGATGTTGTAATGGAGATTTGTGCTGTTGGATGCTGGAGAAGATTGGAGGGCGGGTGTTTGACGCATAGAGCCTGTCAATTTCGCTTTCAGAGTGTCGCAGTCAGCGGTTTTATGATTCGTGAGCGCTTACGATTCGTAGAATCGTTGATTGTGACTGCAAGTGGATTTTACGGGTTTTGTGTGTCGGACGCTTGCTTTTTGGCCTCTTCTTGTGTCTAACATGTGCAGAGTATCATTATAACGTCTAATGGTTTTGAGATTCCTGGTGGCGTGAAATATATTTGTGAGAATATCTTTTTGAGATTTTAGCAGTCACGTTTTGTTTGTAGTTTATATTTTATTTATTTCATTTAATTATCGTAAATATTAGTTATTCAATAATAGATAGTTCATGCATATATTCGTACTTTGACGCGAAGCGCTGTGGATTATAAGATGCTCGATGACCCTCGAGGGATCGATTTTGCTTACTGAGCAGAAAATCATGGATTGAACCCCAAGCTCTTCCACAGCACAATAAATCGTCCACCATTTGTATATTTGATATTGAACATTAACCTCGGAAACTATTTGCATATCAAGCGAAAACGTAGTCCAGTATTGTCGCGAAGCGTTATGGTTCTGAGATGCTCGATGACCCTGGAGGGATCGTTTTTGCTTACTGAGCAGAAAATCAAGGGTTTAATCCCAAGCTCTCCGTCATGACTCTTAAAATTCATTATCACTAAACAAAATTAATATGTTCTTTCGATAGCCGGCTATCGAGAGATTAAATAAACAACAAATAAACAATACATACTTTTGGTTGCATCGCCAACTTGAGGTGAATCCTAACCGAATACCCTACCCAACCCTCCAACTCCGTAGCACTTATGAGGGTGTCGCTAAGTCGGTGGCCTCTCGTTAAGTAAGTACTACATCAACATTTCCTTCCCTATCCCTAGTTATGGTAAAGATGGGCGTGGCCGGGAATAGCGACAGTCATGCTTCTGTTACTCTTGTTTAGATTGGAACCAATGTTTACTCCCCAGTATTATTCCTGAAAGTAGTCTAACTGAGAATTTCAGAAGAGACGTGAGTGTCGCTAGTATCCAATCTACGAAGTATATCATAACAACGCTAACGCTAACGCTTAAAACAAAAAGCTGCCTACGATGCTCGGAAAGACACGAAGACAAAAGTGAGTACGACAATTGTGGAAAAGGCAAAAAGTGCGCTAACTGCAGAAACAAGGATCACACTACGACAGACCCCAGCTGTCCGGAAGTCATACGGCTGGACAAAATCAAAAAGTTAATGGCGAAAACGAATCTCACATACGCAGAAGCAAAGGAACAGATTTCAATGGCAAATCAAAACTTGTACGAACCACTCTTCGATGCCGAGGAATTCCCAATGCCGGCAGAGACATTCGCCGACATGACGAAAAATAGCTTTCGTTGGAAGGATCCGTTGCGGGAACAATGGTCGCTATCCAACAATGAAAGGGAGAAGATTAAAGCAGCGGTGCACATGGGAAAATCGCCAGACAAGCAACAGAACAAGAAAAGGAGAGTCAAAACAATAGCGGACAAGACAACTGAGAAACGGAACTACGTCATCAACGGTGAAAGAGTTTGCGAAGGACCAACGGCCATAAACGGAGTGTTGCGGAAAAAGAACGATTGGATACCATGTCGAAACAGGTCACTAAAAAAAGTTACAGAATCTACTGGGTGGGCGTTGGCCAGATTTGGATTTTTCAGATATAATCCTAAATAGGACCTAGAGTATTTAATACTCTAGTAACCTCAAGTCCGTGCTCTGTCACAATGTTTCATTGTGATTAATCAACACTCAAAGGGGTAAAATATCAAATTTGGGGTGAATTTGAAAGAAAGGGAACTTGGAGTGTAGAGCGCACTGCCCACTGGACGATTCTGAAGCCTGGCCAAGTGAGTGGGGTATGGGTTTATTTGATTGAACGTCATTTCCAATGCATATATTGATACATTCAAACCATTGGCATTTGAGATAAGACAGAGATAGGATGCGGAGGGCCCGCTTAGGAGGAGCGTAACCCATGTTATGGTTTCCATTTATTAAATAGTTCAGATAGCCTAGAAATGACAGGTTTATAGTGAGAGAATGTACAATATTGGGAAAGCATAATTTTCATAGGGTTCAGAGCGGCTAAGCTGTTCGTTTGTAGTTTGACCTTCCTTCAAAACCAATTTGGCTCTAGAACAATTTTAAGCTTGTTCTGCATTATTCACATGTTGCAATTATTGAAAAGAGCTCGATATGATAGCCACAGAGAACAGACGTTGAGGCTCCAACATTTCTCTAAAAACTTGTGTAAAGATTCCTATTCGACTTGAGCGCCACTAACGGCGACTTCCCCACTTAAAAACCCTCTTTGACAACATGATGGCGCTGGCGCTGCAAAACTTACACTAGACACTAAGTGCTGGTAGCGCGAAGTGGCAATTTTCAGCAGATAATTCATCGATACTAGCGCCAAATTGGTCGAAAGTGTAAAACTTATAAAGTAAATCAGGAAATGATAGCGCTACGTAACGGCAACGTTTCCACTTAACTCTACACAAGTTTCTGACCGAACTTGAACGTCTGGTCTCTGTGAGATAGCTTAATACAATTAAATAGAAATGCCAAAATCTTACCGAGTAGTTTAGCTGTTCTGATTTCGGTACAGTTTGTTGAGGTCGGGTATAGTTGCTGAGTTTGGATGCCCATTTTTAAATAACTCATATTAGCACAGAGTAATAGATTTATTGCTAGAGAACTTTCTTTTTTTTCCCTTTATTTAACGTCGGTCTCTGTTCCGCAATCTAGTGCCAATCACCGACGGACATCAATTGCCATCCATTTACGGCAATCGAATGTGCAGGAAGGCAGCTTCCACACCTGCGTAGGATATCGCACCCATTCAAACACACATGGGCCGGGACCAACGGCTTTACTTCCCTTCCGAAGGAAGACGTGACCAGAGATTTTTATGCCTCAGAAAAATCCCACCGACCTCGGCTGGGATTGAACCCAGACCCATTGGGGTGTTAGAAAGCAGTCACGCTTACCACTACACCACCGGCGCCGGCTGAGAACTTTCTTTTGGGATCGTCTTTTCTTCATACTGTAGTGTTCATTATCCGTTAAACGTGCAATCGATACGAATGCGATGATACGAACAAGTACCGAATGTGTATCATTTGACGAATGAAATATGAGTCGTTGTATAGCCACCAAGTGAAACACTAGCTTTTTATTTTATCTCCCTATCACGAAATACAATCACAGAGAACAGACATGGAGACTCGAACAAAATTTCTCTAAAAACTTGTGTAAAGATTCCTATTCGACTTAAGCGCCACTAACGGTGACTTCCCCACTTAAAAAACCCTCTTTGACAACATGATGGCGCTGGCGTTGCACAAATTACACTAGACACTAAGTGCTAGTAGCGCCAAGTGGCAATTTTCAACAGAAAATTTATCGATACTAGCGCCAAATTGGTCGAAAGTGGACAATTTATAGAGAAAATCAGGAGATGCTCACACCACGTAACGGCGACGTTCCCACTTATTTTACACAAGTTTCTGACCGAACTTGAACGTCTGTTCTCTGTGATACAATAGTGTCAACGAGGATAGTTTAAAAACCCAGTGCGTGCAAGTGCAATAAATCGGTGTGAAACACCGTGTGCAAAGTTTATTTCTATTATTTAATAATTAAAACAATTTTGCGTCATATTTTTGAAGCTGTAAATCGTAGGATTCGTGCGCTTCTGACCGGCAGCAAATTGAAATAATAGTGTCTAGGGTGTTTCAATAAGTCGGTTAAAAACTTAAACTTGAAATAACGAAGGATTGTAGTAAAAGCACAAACGAAGTGACAGACGACTAACTGGCGAAGAAATCCATTAAAATAATGTGGTTCACTGTAATAGAATTTTCTTAAAAGCTTGTGCCATCATCCACCAGATGGGTTAGTTTTTTTGTTTTGATTTGAACAAAGTTGATTTTGTGTTCAATGATTCTTTGACAGTGTGCAAAGAGTGTATCATTTTGTCATATTTTTATGCATTTCAGTTTTGAGTAGAGTGAATGAGATAGAACCAAAACATTCTAATACATTTGGTGAAAATGCTAGTACAATCCAGTAGTAGTGTTGCCATGTGGTACAATCCAGTAGTAGTGGTGTTGCCATGTGGTACACTGAAAAATTTAAATAGCAGGTTAGTCACCAAAGTTTTCGAGCCGCTCCGTCTGTCACTTCGTTTGTGGTAAAAGCGTCTTTGTAAAGCCAAAACTGTAGTGAGGCTAGTGCTAAAATTGATCGCGTATGATATACAGTAACGTACGGCGTTGGTAAGACGTCCACCGTCATTAGCCATCTCCGCCATCATTTTCTACCGTCATTGTCAATCATCAGAAGCCACCTCCAGATGCCATCATCATCACCATCTTCTCCGCCATCGTAGTCCACTATAAGGTTCGTTGCCTCTGCAATTGTTTCAAATCAGCTTTGTCATCATTATCACTGTGGACATCGCCGAAATTATCCACTGCTGAGTACCACGATCTTCATGATATCTGCAGTAAATCAAGATACCATCTCTTGTGTGCACAGTATTTCTGGTGAGAGGTGAGTGATTTAACTTGTTCATTCTAAGTGGAGTTCGCTCTTCATAGCAATAAATCGATTAAATCGTGTGCTTAGAAGTGTTAGAGACTGGTTGAGTGCTTTGAGCTCAGGAGCATTGTGGGTTCATTAGTGATAAATTTTTGTTTACATCTAGATTTTCGTGATACACTGCTGCGACTAAATTAAAGAACAATGTCGACGTTCATTGGGTCAGTGGAACCTTACGTTGTAGGAACATCGTTCAGCGATTATGCAGAGCGTTTACAACATGTGTTCAATTACAACCGAGTGCCCGAAGGTAATCGCAAATCTCTGTTCATCACAGTGAGTGGAGCTGTTGTTTTTTCTGAGCTGAAAAAGTTGTACCCCGGTACGGATCTGGACACGCTACAATAATATAACGACATCATAACACGGCTGAAAAGCAGGTTTGATAAGAAGGATGGGCGAATGGTACAAAAATCGCTGTTTTACGAAGGGTGTCAGCGCAAGGATGAGCCCGCTGAAGATTTTATTCTGGATGTCAAATTGTTAGCGGAAACCTGTGGTTTTGGAATAATGAAACATTCCATTATACGTGATAGGTTGGTTTTTGGCGCGTATGATAAGAAAGCGCGAGAACGTTTGATCGAAGAGAAAGAACCTTCACTTGAAGAAACCGAGCGGGTCCTTATTACCAGGGAGCAGATGGCACGTCGTTCGTTGTTGATGGAGCAACCCAGTGATCGAGTGAGTACTATTGAGAGACCAAGTACACGTTTTCGTCGCGATGATTTCTACAATCGAAACCGTGATCAGAGAAGTGGAAGAAGAGAAGCATATCCGCATAGAAGTCGTCGTGATCAAGATCGTTCCAGCTATCGCAGCAGAAGCCGGTGAAGGTCTGGTCAGAAATGGAAATATAACGGCAACAAGAACGTGTTGTGTAGTTTTTGTAAGATTCGAGGACACGTGCGAAAAAATTGCTTTAAACTTCAACGGTCTCGTCAGTCGGTGCGATTTGTAGAAGATGAAAACCCTTCAAATGATTCTACTGGATTTGATTTTAAGCGTCTGGGACATTCGAACAACGTCAGTGAGTCAGAAGAGGATTTGGATTGTATGTCCATTATAGCTGGAGTGCAGGTAAATGAACCAGTTTTTATTCAAACTAAAATAAATGGAATAAGGTTTAATATGGAGATTGACAGCGGATCTTCCGTCTCCGTAGTAAGGGGCCATTCAATAATTACGTAAGCATGATTTCCAATATTTCAGAGAACCCCTCCCCCCCCTTGTAAGACATAGTAAGATTTTTCAATACCACCCCTCCCCCCCTGTAAGATCTTACCAACTTTGTTTTTTTCTTAAATCGGTATTTCGAAAGAATCGGCTTTTTTGGTGATCAAAACAACACTTTTTTATTTAAACAACCATTTAAACAAACAAGTTTTCTATACCAAACAC